GAGGGGAAGGTACAGAGCTTTCCTATATACCCCATCCCTCCCACAAATGCATAGCCTCCAGCACTATTAACATCCCTTTACCAGAGTGGCACACTTGTTACAATTGATGAACCCACACTGACACACCATGATCATCCGAAGTCCACACCACACATTAGTATTCACTCTTGCTAGCACATTCTATGGGTTTTGATAAATATATAATGGCATGCATCTGCTATTACAGTATCATACAGAGTATTTTCACTGTTCTAGAAATCCTCTGTGTTGTGCCTACTTATTCCTTCTCCCCACCCAACCTCTGGCTACCACTGATCTCTTTACTGTCTCGATAGTTTTGCCTTTGCCAGAATACCATACAATTGGAACCATACAGCGTATAACTTTTGCAGATTGACTTTTTTTTTTTCACTTAGTAATATGTGTTTAGGTTTCCTCCATGTCTTTTCATAGCTTGACAGAACATTTCTTTTTAATGCTGTAAAATATTCCATTGTCTGAATGTACCACAGTTTATCCATTCACGTACCGAAGGCGAAGGGCATCTTTGTTGCTTCAAAGTTTTGCCAGTCATGAATAAAGCTACTATAAACATTCATGTGCCAATTTTTGCGTGGACATAAGTTTTGGATAAATACCAAGGAACACGATTACTGGAATGTTTGGTAAGAGTATGTTTAGTTTTGTAAGAAACTACCAAACTGTCTTCTAAAGTGACTGTACCACTTGAATTCCCATCACCAATGAATGAGAGTTCCTGCTGCTCCACATCCTCACCAACATTTGGTGCTGTCAGTGGTATCAGCCATTCTAACAGATGTGCAGTGGTATCTCATTATTGTTTTAATTTGCATTTCCTCGATGACATATGATGCAGAGCATCTTTTCATATGCTTATTTGCCATGTGTTTATCTTCTTTGGTTAGGTGTCTGTTAACATCTTTGGCCCATTTTTTTAAACAGGTTGTTTATTTTCCTAATGTTGAGTTTCAAGAGTTCTTTGTATATTTCGGATAACAGCTCTTTATCAGATGTGCCTTTCGCTAATATTTTCTCTCAGTCTGTGGCTTGTCTTCTCATTCTCTTGACATCATCTTTCGCAAAGCAAAAGCTTTTAATTTTGATGAAGTTCGTCTAATCGAATATTTCTTTCATGTATTATGCCTTTGGTGTTATATCTAAAAGTCATCAACATACCCAGCATCTTCTAAGTTTTCTCCTATGCTATCTTCTAGGAGTTCTATAGTTTTACATTTTACATTTAGGCCTGTGATCCATTTTGAGTTCATTTTTGTGAAGGATTTCTATTTGTTCCAGCACCAAGGTTTTAATTTTAATATAGACAAGTCTATCCATCTTTTCCTTATAGTTGACATTTTTGTTCTACTAGGCGTTTTAAATTTTGGATATTAATGCCTAAGTCTTCAATCTGTTTAGAGTTAATTTCTGTACATGGTGAAAAGCAGGATTAAATTTAATCTTCTTGCACATGGATAACCATTGTTTTCTAGCTACGTTTGCTTCTTTGCTTGTGTGATATGTATGCCACCTCTTTCTTGCACTCAAGTTCCACATGTTGGAATTTTGATTGGAATTGCTTTAAATATGTAAACTAATTTAGGGGGAAGTGAAAGCTTCACTATAATGTTTTCTTACCCTTAAATATATCTCTCCATATATTTATACCTTTTACAAACTATGTCTGCAGACCTTTTTGGTATTTTTATGTAACTCCATGATCATCTACAAATAATGATGGTTTTAATTTCTCTTTTATAACCCTTCTGCCTCTACTTTCTTGTCTTATTAATTGACTGGGTCATCCAATAAGATGAGGAGTAGTGGTGATATTGTTGGCATTCTTGACTTATTCCTGATTATGAGTGAAATCTTTTCCCCATTTCAGATGATGTTGGCGCTGGACTTTCATAGGTACTCTTTACAAAGTTTATAAATTTCCATTCTAATCCTGATTTACTAAATGTTTTCATCATGAATGAGTTATCAAATAACTTCTTTCACAAGTTTTAGAATGATCATGTAGTTTTTTTCTTTTAATCTGTTAATGTTTATGAATTTTTAAAATACTAAAGCACCTTGCTCACCTAGGATAAACTCAACTTAGCTGTGGTGTGTTAATCTTTTTTAAAACTCTTGGATTCTGTTGGACCCTATCTGAAAATATTTTGTTTAGCATTATTTGCATCTAAACCCTTGAGTGAAACGGCCCTATGGTCTTTCCTCCCTCTCTCTTCCCTCCCTCCCTTCCTTTCTTCCTTATTTCCTTCCCTTTTCCCCTCTTTTCTTTCTTCCTCAGTGTGTCTTTGTTTGGCTCTGGTATCAGGGCAGTAGAGTCTTCATAGGATTAAGTTACATTCCTTCTTTTTCTGCTGCCTGAAAGAGTTGTACAAAGTGGAACGATGAGTTCTTTGAAAGTGCTGTAGTATTCGTCTATGAAACCATCTGAGACTGATGCCTTGTTTTCATTCTTTTTAGGTCACACTTTCAGCAGTGATTTTCTAGGAATTTGCTTATTTTGTCTACATATTCAAAATTGTTGGCTTATACTTGCTGATAGCATCCTCCTATCTTTAAATCTTTTGTGAAGTTGATCCTCCCTTTACATTCACAGGATGTGTTTGTATGTGTCTTTTCTGGGTTTGTCTTGCTAGAGATTTGTGTACCTTGTGAGTCATTCAAAGATCCAACTTTTGGCTTTTTTGATATTCTTTATTGTATCTTTTTTAACCATTTCTTGATTTTTTTTTATTCTTATGTTTATCTGTTTCTCTCTCCTTTTTTTATTCTGTTGAGTTTTTTTTTCCCTACCTTCTTAAGCTAGACACATAGCTTATGAACTGTGAGGCTGTCTTATTTTCTTATATACATATTTAAAGCTATACTTTTTTTTAAAGTTCCACAAGCTCTGATATTTAGTGTTCTCATGATCTTTAAAATCTAGGGGTTTTTTTTTACATTTTTGCTATGATTTCTTCTTGATCCAAGAGTTAGTTAACAGTGTATTTTTCAAGTTTCCAAATATGTAAGGTTTCTTATTTATCTTTTTGTTACTCCCTTCAAAGTTAAGTACACTAAGGTCAGAGATCATGTTCTGTGTCATATCTATTGTCTGAAACTGTAAATATTTCTGGTGTGCTTGAGAAAATGTGTACTTTCTAATTTTTGTATGCAGAACTTTATAAATACCCATTAGGTAAAGCTAACAATTTGTATTATTCAGATTTTTTTTTAATATCCTTGTTGATATAATGGAGAAAGTTGAAATATCCCAGTACAGTGGTAGATTTATCGCCTCTGTGTTATTTATTGGTCTTTATGTAGATATTTGAGAGTCTTTTGTTAGATGCATGCATGTTTAAAATTGCTGTGTTTCCTTGGCAAAAATGAACATTTTATCATGCTCTTTGCCATAAAGCCAAGCTGATTTGATATTAATATAGCTATAACAATTATGTTTAGGTTAATATTTGCTGATAGAACTTTTTCTTTCCTTTTACTACTTAAGTGTGTCTTTAAGTGTGTCTTGTAAATAACATACACCTGGCTTTTTAAATCCCATCTGTCAATATTTGCTTTTTAATTTGTGATTTCCCTCCATCCCAACCCCAATCATATGGATAGATCTAGATCAGTGCTTCTCAGACTCTCAAAACATCTAGGATTCCTGTTGAAAGGCATGTTCTGATCCTGCGTGTTTGGGATTGGACTTGAGATTTTCTGACAAGCTCCCCGGTGATGCTGATGCTCGTTCAAACACCACACTTCAACCAGCAAGAATCTACACTTGTGCTGTTCAGTACGATAGCCAAATCTGGGTTTGCATTTCCTCTTTATATACTTCATCCAAAACAGCTTTCAGTGAGGATCTTTTTGTGACAAACCTTCTGAAGCTTTCTGGGACTAAGAATATTTTTATCATGCCCTCATATGTAAATGTCTTGGCTAAATATAAAATTCTAGACTCTAAGTTCTTTCCTTCTAATATTTTTAAATGATACTCATGACTTCCTGTATCCAACTTACTTGAAAAATCTCTTAGGATCAATCTAACTCTTGTTCTTTTGTGTGTGAACTACTCTTTCTCTCTGGAAGCCTTTAGAATTTTCTCTTAGACTTTGTTATTCTTAAATTTCATATCCCCATTCCCTGTCTCTTTTCTGCATCTCTTTCCACCTAAAGCTTTTCTTCTCCTTTGCCTTTTCCTTCTCCCTTTCCACCTCCTCTTTCTCTTCCTCTTTCTCATCTCCTCCTCTTTTCCCTCTACTTATCTCTGGGAAATCATCATCATTATTGCTCCAAATATGTCCTCCTCTCCATTTTTAATTTTTTCCCTCTTCCTGGGACTTCTATTTTCTGGAAGTTAGCACTTCTACTTTATTTTCTGTATGTCTTGGCTTTTCATCTCATATATATATATTTTTTTAATTTCTTTGTCTTTTTCTTTTCCTTAAGGGAGATGATCTCAATCTTGTTTTCCACATCACTAATGCATCCCCTCCACATAGATCCTGCCTGCTGATTATCTGAACTATCCTATTCTTTACTTTAACTACCATATTTTGCACACCAATATTTCTGCTTGATCTTTGCTTTCTTGTTCTTATACTAAGACATTAGGTATTGGTAATATTTCCCCTTACCACTTTTAGTTTAATTCTGAATTGTTAATCTATCTGTTCTAAGATTTCTCCCTCTGAAGAACTCTATCCTCCAGGTATGTGATGTTTTTTGTTTCAGATAGCTATGATTCTAAACTGTGTTCTTTGGGCCTGAGTTCCTTTTCTGCTGGGTACGTTGCCTTCTCTGTTTGTCAGCGCAGCTGAGAAGAAGGCCAGACCCCTGTCTACGTGAGTCCCAGTAAGCTGAAGGAGGAAGGGCGTAAAAGTCCTGGGGTGAGGCACCAGAAATCCATCTCAATCACTGCTCACCCCACAAAACAATGCCTTGGGACTGGGCGTCATTCACACTTTGCACTCCAGAAACAGTACTGTAAGAACAACCCCTGTCCACCCCGCTACCCTGCCTCCCACCCTCCCACCCACCAGCTAGAACTTGCCCTGGGGACTTGGCGAGGGAGGGGTGGGGAAGCAAAAGTCCAAAGTTAATCTCTACCTATTTTTCTTAGTCCCTCAAATTTACCCTGCATTTCTGGAATGTACTCTAATTTAGTAATGTTATTCTTTTCACACAGGAGTGCACTTGATTTGCTAATGTTTTATTGATGCTTGATTCATATGCATATTACTCAGCAGCTTGCGGTTTTGTTGCGGTTTTGTATTAAGGTTAAATAAATTTCATTAAATAAAATAAAAGTATTTTCTTTCTTTATTTATTCCCTAGAGCAATTTAAGTTGCAGGGAAATTCTCTCAGGTTTGAAATAAATCACCAGGTGGCAGATCTACCTTCCGTCCCCATGGCTCTGTTTGGAGAATTTTGGGGAAAGGGGCAAAGTTCTCCATAAACTTCTCGATTTACTCTATATTATTGCTCTATTCAGACTTTCTTCTTCTTCTTGACTCTAATTTAGTTATAGTTTCCTTAAAGCGCAACCAATTCATCTAGATCTTCAAATTTCTTAGGCTTTTAGTCTTTCCTTTTTAATATTAGCTTTATTGAAGTACAATTTACATTTAAAAATTCACCCATTTTAAGTGTACAGTTCGACAGGCTTTAACAAACAAATTTAACAAACGAATGCATGATTGCAACCTCCACCAAAAATATAGAATATTTCCATCATACCAAAAAAAGTTCCCTTATGCCCCTTTGCAGTCACTACCTTCTTCCAACCTCTGCCCCATGAAATCACTGGTCTGATTTCTTTCATTATAACTGTGCCTTTCCTAGAATTTTGTAGGAATGAAATCCGATAAAATCTGTTTTGTATTTGACTTCATTTGCTCAGGGTAATGTTTTTGAGATTCATGCATGATATATCAGGAGTTCAGCCCATTTTATTACTGAATTGCGTTCCTTTGTATGAATATACCAAAATGCGTTTATCCATCCATCAGTTGATGAAAAATTGGGTTATTCCCAGTTTGAGGCTATGGTAGGCTGAAAAAATGGCCCCCTTAAAAATATTCACATACCAATCCCTAGAACCTATAAATATCACTTTATATGGAAAAAATATCTTGCAGATGTGAGTAAATTAAGGATCTTGGGATGGAGAGATTATCCTGGATTATTAAGACTGGCCCTAAAGGCAATCCTATATATCTTTATAAGGGGGAGGCAGGGAAAGATTTCACACACACAGCAGAGAAGGAGATGTGCAGACTGAGCAGGGAGAAATGTGAAGATGCTGGAGTGATGCAGGCACAAGCCAAGAAGCTGCTAGATGCTGGAAGAGGCAAGAAATGGGTTCTCCCCTAGAGCCTCCAAAAGGAGCATGGTCGTGCTTATGCTTTGATTTTATCCCAGTGACACTATGTGGACATCTGGCCTCCAGGACTGTGAGAGAATAAATTTATGTTGTCTTAATCCACCAAGTTTGCGATAGTTTGTTACAGCAGCCTCAGGAAACCAGTTCAGAGACTATGACAAATAACCTGCTGTCTAAACCTCTGTGCACAAGCCTATGTGTGCGTGGACACGTTGTTCAGTTCTCTTAGATAAACAGGAATGGGATTCCTGGGATATAGTTTAAATTTATAAGAAATTGACTGTTTTGCCAAGTGGCTGCACCATTTTGCATTCCCATCAGCAATGTAATGTGTTCCTGTTGTTTCACGCCCTTGCCAACACTTGATATGATCAGTCTTTTTAATTTCAGAGCATCTCGCTGTGGTTTTAATGTGTATTATCCCTAATGACTCATGATGTTGAGCACCTTTTCATGTGCTTTTTGCCATTCATATATCTTTTTCAGGAAAGTCTTTATTCAAATCTTTTACTCACTTTTTGTTCAGTTGTTTGCCTTATTATTAATGTATAAGAATTACTTATATAACAGATATGTTTGCAAATATGTTTTCCTCCCAATCTGTTTTTAAAATTTCTCAACAGTGCCTTTTGATGAAGTCCAATTTAATTTTTTTAATTTGTGTCGTAAGAAATCTGCCTAACCCAATGACGCAGGGATTTTATTCTATTTCCTTTTAGAAGCTTTATAATTTTAGCTATTTAGGTTTATAATTTATTTCATGTTCATTTTTCTATGATAGGAGGGAAGGATCAAGGTTCACTTTTTTACGTATGAAAATCCAATTGTTCCAGTTTCATGTGTTGAAGAAAGTATCCCCATTAAATTACTTTGGCCTCTTTGTAGAAAATGACCGTATATGTTCCATTGATCTGTATGTCTGTCCTCACACCAATTGCTACTCTGTCTTATTATTATTGCATTAAGTTCATGAAATCAAATGGTTTAAGCTCTATAACTTTGTTCTTTTTTTTTTTTACAAAACTGTTTTGGATTTTCTAGATCTTTTGTATTTCCATATAAATTTTAGAATCAGCTTGCCAATTTCTACCTCACTCCCCTCCAAATAAAAGCCTGCTAGGATTTTTATTTGGATCGTTTTGAATCTATAGAAAATTGGCAGGGGAACCACTGAAATCTTAGTAACATTAAATCCTGTAATTTATAAACATGGTATATCTCTCTGTATTTAATTTCTCAGCAAGGTTTTATCATTTTCAGTGTACATGTCTTGTACATAATTTGTTATTTTTGTCCTTGATTGTTTTAAGGTTTCAATGCTCTTGAAACTAGTATTTTTATTTTGAATTTCCAATTGTCTATTGCTATATTTTTTTAAAAAGAAATCACTCTTTCTAGAGTTTTATGCTATTTCTCATTCATAATATGTTGGTGCTCTTTTTTGTTTTATTAGCACTGCTAAAGATTTTCTTATTTTTTTAGCCTTTACACAAAAGAACACTTTGGTTTGTTTAATAAGTCTGTTGAGTCTTCATTTCCTAATTCATTAAGTTTTGTTTTTGTCTTTATTAAGTTTTTCCTTTTACTTTCATTAGGTTTGTTTTATTACTCTTCTCTAAGTTTTTGAGTTAACTATTCAATGTGTTTTGCTTTCATTTTTTTAATTTAATTATTGTGATGGCTTTGTATTGTGACAACTTAGCTAAGCTGGAAGAACTACATTTCACAGAATCCCCTTCCTAATATGTTTGTGGTTTAGAGTGGCTCCAAAAGAAATTTACATGGGACTTGGAAGGCAGGAGTGATGGAGCAGCCAAACGTCAGTGTAGGGCCAGCTACTACTGCAGCTCACAAATACTGTACACCTGCTGGGTGGTCTTGGTGTGGGCAGCAGCCAGGCCCTCAGCTCCATTGGATCTCCTCTTACTACTCAAAATTCTGGTCCTGTTGCATGAACAGTTGGTGCCAGCTTACTAGAACGGTGAAAGATAGACACATGTTCCTCTTTGTCCTGGTGGGCTCAAATTTGCTCTTATTCTTTCCTATTTCATTTCCATCTCCCTTTCTGATTTAACCTAATTTGAGGACTTTATACATGCCACCATTTCTTTTATAGTACATCTTCCATATTGGAGTTCTCCTTTTGATTCATTTCTCAGTTACATTCTTCAAGCAACTTTTTAGAAGGGGTAATTGATGGTTTACTTTCTGAATCCTAACATATCTAAGAATGTCTCTGTGTTCCCTTCCACATGAACAATAATTAGGTTGGGTAAGTGAACAATTGTTTTCGACGGTCCAGCACCCATCTCTTCCTTTTAGGAACCATCTCTTCCTCATTCTCCATTCATGTGGGTTGGGTGAAGGTGACTCTATCCCCAGATCTCAGGAGTGAACAGATATATGACAATGAAAGCATGGCAAATCCCTGGCCATATGGTAGGTACAGTGATGGGCACTGACCAATGTCAGGCCAATGAGACTGATTTTGCTGGGACTATTATGAAAGCAAAGACTCAGAGATGCTAATGGCCATACAGGCCACCATGTAGACAGCCTAGTTGAGAAAGAATCCAACTCAAAGTAACTGCAGAGCTGAGGGATGACAGAAGACAGAATCTGAAGCATCTGGATCCTGCCAGAAAAGAAAATATATTGATTAACTACTGAAAAAAATCAATTACTGCTGGATCCTAATTTCAGACTCCTCCTTCATCTCATTGGAAATATAAATATTTCTTTTAAAAATATGATTTAATGGGAAAATTTATTTCATATTTTCTTATATATTTTCTTATTTCTCTCAGTGAATCCCTTATTTAGAGCTGTTGAATTTATGCACATGGCTGGTGACTTCTGTTTGCCCATACAAAGGATGTATATATTTGTCCAGAACTAGGACTTACAGTCTGAAGGCAATTGTTTATGCATTGGATCCTATTCAGATTGTTTAGTCATGGATAAAAAAAAGTTTCTTCATTGCTTTTATTCTGCTAGATTTGGCTTAAGGGTGGCTTCCAGTTGCCTAGGAGGATGGGGTGAGTGAGGGCTCTGCTCATTCACTTCTCCAGTCCTTCAGCTGACTGAAGGGCAAGGACTTGAACATCTTGGAAGCCAACGCTCAAGATGGCAGAGCTGCCATCAGCCTGGTTCCCCGCATGATCAGATGGAGCACAGACCTCCACCAACTACACATACACAAGAGAAATAAGTTGTTTTCAGTTATATAATTTTGGACTCTTCCCCCTCCCCCAACAAAGTTTACCCTTTTACCCTAATACAACAGGATTCTTGGTTAGTCAAAATCATTTCTTCCCCGCTACCTATTTTCCTGCTACTTCCATGGTATGGAAAGAATACAGAAGAAATAGCTCAATTATTGTACAGGAAACTGTGAAAGAAAATTTTGAGTTTTCACAGACAGCTTGAGAAAAGGAGAATAAGGTCACCTGGAATATGAAGAGAAATATAAAGAGGAAAGAAGGCCAAAGTGTGGAATAACTTGGGTGCCAAAGGAGAAGGAATAGTCAGTAGCAAATTCCCAGTTGTGGAAGAACAGAGTGTTAAAACATCTAATACTCAATGTTGAGTTATACCCTG